TTTTTATTAGTGTCAATCTGATGAAAGTCATCTATGACTACCAATGTCATATAAAATGAGGAAAAACTGAAAACTCTCTCTAAAATCAGGAACAAGACAAACATGTCCACTATTACTACTCCCATTTAATACAGTTCCTGAAACATTAGCCAGAGCAATCAAGTAAGATAAAAAAAGAGATCTGTAAAGAGAAAAAAGTCAAATTATCATCACCTGTAGATGACATGATCCTCTAAAAAGAAGACCCAAGAAATTTCACTACCAGATTTCTATATTAATAACTAACCTCAGTAGTGTAGCAGGATACAAAATCAATAGAATTCTTGTATACCAATAAGGAACTTGCCATGAAAGAAATTAGGAAAACAATACCATTAACAATAGCATCAAGAAAAATTAAATACTTAGGAATTAGCCTAACCAAGGAAAAGAAAGACCACCACCACCACAACAACAACAAAAAAACCCCTCGGGTATTCTGAAAAAGGAAATTGCACAGGACATCAGAAAAACTGAAAGATAGTCTCTGTTTCTCGATAAGTAGAAACATTTATTGTAAAATGGCTACATAATCAAAATTTATAGATTTAATGTAATATAAATCAAAATACCAACAGCATTTCCTTATGAAACTAGAAAAAACAACCCTAACATTCACAGAGAACAAGAAGAGACTCAGAATAGCAAAAGCCATCCCTGGGTGAGTTAATTACTTTTCTCTTGTTGCTGAGACAAAATATCTGACATCCAAAATTAAGGAAAGAAAGGTTATTTAGCTCACAGTTTGTGGAAGTTTCAATCCATACTTCACTGGCTCCAAGGCATTTTGGCACATGGCAAAGAGGCAATAGTTCATGGTGGCAGATGACAGCAAAACCAACAAGAGCAAACAGGGAGGAGCATGAAGAGAAGGCTCTTTCTGTCCCTCATATTGTATGTAGGCACTCACCCTAGGGAGGGTGTAGCACGTACACCCATAATCTCAGCATTGGACAATGAATCAATCACAAATTCTAGAAGCCTGCCCCCATGACTGTACAAGGCTTTGTGGAGAGGACATCCAGACACAAACTGTAATACTGGGTAACAAGAAAAAAGTATGAGGCATCATAATCCTGAATTTCAAATTATATTACAATGCTACAGTGATAAAGGTAGGATGGTACTGGTGCAAAAACAGCATGTGAATAGAGGATGCAGAAACAACCCTAAGCAGAGCCAGCCATCTAATCCCTGACAAAAGGGGCAAAACAGAGGCTGGAGTACAGAAAGCTCTTTGGCAAACTGTGTTGGAAAACTGGGTCCTCATACGCAGAAGACTGAATCCACACCCATATCATATTTTCACCATGCACTAAACTAGAATCAAAATGGATCCAAAGTCTAAATATCAAAACAGAAACAATATGCTGGAAAATAAAAGAGATAAAAGTTGTTAAGATATAGGAATATATAAGGCCATTTTGAACGGAACTCCAGTTGTATAAGAAATTGCATAAAAACCAACAAATAGTATATTAAATTAAAACACTTCTCCCCTCTTCTCCTCCTCCACCTCCTCCTTCTTTTTTGTCTTTTTTGAGACAGGGTCTTGCTGTGCAGTTCAGGCTTGCCTTGAGCTCACTTTGTAGCCCAGGCTGGTCTTGAATTTGCAATGATCCTCCAGCCTCAGCCTTTTGAGTGCTGGGATTATAGGTGTGCGCCATCATGCCCAGATTTTTTTGTTTTTGTTTTTTTGCCTTTTTAAAACACCTCTAAACAGCAAAGGAAACAACCAATAGAATGAAGAGACAACCTACACAATGGGAAAAGTATTTTTACCATCTATTCCTCAACCAGAAGACAAATATCCAGCACATACAAAGAACTCAAAAATTAGACCCCCTACTCAGAATAAAAGACCGAATCAAAAAATGGGCAGCTGAAATGAATAGCCATGTTTCTGAGGAAGAAGTACAAATGGCCAATAAGCACATGAAAAAAATGTTCAATACCTTTGGCCAATCAGAGGACAAAATAACACTGAGATTTTAGCTTACTCCAGAAAGAATGGCTATCATGACAAAAACCAAAAAATGTTTATAGTTTATAGGGGAAAAGTGACTCTATTACATTATTGGTGGGGATGTATACTAGTTAAACTGCTACAGACATCAGTATGGATATTCCTTTAAAGCTAAAAACATAAATTCCACTCAACTCAGCTATATCTCTACTAGGTTATCTTCTCTAGAGTTAAGAGCATCATATTCAGTGATATATGCATATCTACATAGCAGTTTGCTTCCAGTAGCTACTTCTCAGAAATGACTTCTATGTCCATCAACAGGTGAACTGTAAAGAAATTGTGGTATACACACACAGTGGAGTATTACTTAGCCATAGAGAAGTATAAATCTGACTCATTTGTGCAAAGATGAATGTCCCTAAGTCCAAATGAAATAAGATTCAATGACTTGATGAGGGACAGGAAAGAAACGGAAGGAAAAAGGGAATTTAAAAACAAGTAAGATGTGTTATGCACATGTACTGACTTTCCATGATGAATGTAACTATTATGTACTGCGAGCATGTACTAATGATCAAAGAAAAAAGAAATTTCTTCGGGCTGACTGTGGTGGTGCACATCTGTAATTCCACCACTCAGGAGACTAAATCAGAAAGATCAAATATTCAAAGCCAATCTAGGTAATTTAGCAAGACGCTATCTCAAGTAAACTGCAACCAAAAACCAAAATATACTGGCCTTTGCATTTTAGAATAATGCCTTAACATTAAAAAGATGGAAAAAGGAAGAAAATAGCCAAAGCATGTAGAGTGATTTATAAAAGAAAACCAAGTAATTGACAAGTGTACAAAAAATTTTCATTCAGACTAATAACTCAGGAGATTGGAAATTATAAATAATACATTATATGACAAATGTTTGAAGATTGATAATATTCTTTGTAAGCAAGGATTTGAGGAATAGGGTACTTTCAAGTACTATTTATATCAGTTCAAAATACAATAAATATAGATTATTTTGGTATTTAATATGTATGTAGTATGTTTTAAAATTTCAATTGTGTCTATATTTACATTATTCAATAGGGAGAAACAAAAAGATTAATATCATACAGCAGGGAAATGGTTATAATACAGAATTCTGTAGCTGTAATTATTGACCCTGGTGAAATTTTATGTAAAATTATTAAAGGAAATACAGATATATACCTATATGTAGCCTACATATAATATCATTATTTGATTAAAGAATAAAAAATAAAGCATATGTAAGTGTGACCTTTTTGGAGTGCTTTTTCCCTAAAAAGAGAGCATGAAAGTTTTACTTTTTACAATAATGTATACATTTTTGTTTGTTGTTTTTTAAGTACTGGGGATTGAACCAAACGCTTCAACACTGAGCTACATTCCTAACTCATTTTCATACTTTATTTTGAGACCAGGTCTTACCAAATTGCTAAGTTGCCAAGTTTGGACTGGAATTCAATGCTCCTTTGTCAGCCTCTTGAAATGCTGGGGTTACAGATGTGTTTCACCATGCCTGAGTAACTGTATGTTTAACAAGAACTTTACACTGAAGTATGATTGACATAAAACTTCACATATTTGAACTTTATAATCTGACATATGTGGCACTGCATATATAAGTGAAATAATTATAATTAAGGTAATATCCACCCCCCAAAAAACTTGTCTTTTTAACTCCTCTGTGACTCTAGCAACTAATCTGTCACTATATACATTATTTTCTAGACTGTTATAAAAATGAACCCACATCATATGTATTCTTTCTTTTGTGCCTTCTTTCACTTAGGATAATTATTTTGAGATCATACAAATCATTTTTATGTATCAATGGTTTGTTCTTTCTTATAGCTGAGTAGCATTCCACTGCATGCATCTACCACAATTGGTTTATCTTTTCAGCTTTGATGGTCTTGTGAACTAGTTCCAGTTTTTGGTTGTTACAAATAAAGCTGCAATGAATCTTTTTAAGGACACACACTTTTTCCTATTGAGTAAAGAGCGAGGTAAGGGATGTCTGGTAATAAGAAAGGTATATGCTTAGCATTTTAAGAAATTGTTAACAAGACTGGAGTATGAGGCTGAGGAAATAAAGGTACAGCCCTTTCACCATTATCCCATGAGCTAAAGATAGTGACTGTCAACTCAGTGTGCAGATTTGACCTGAGATCGCCCCTACTAAAAATGTGTCCGGTTCTCTGGAGATTCCTTTCAGAATCCGGTTAAAGTACTTTCGGTGTGGGGTGTAGAACAACATATGTGATCAAATGCCATACAGGAATTACATACTGAAAATGGAGATCGCCTGAACTGAAGCTGCCAGTCAACATGGAAGAGAGGGCTGAATTGAGACACAGTGAAAAGTTAGAATGGTTAGGACTTGGTAAAACAGAGAAGATGATTCCCAAGTTTTAGGGAGTAGGTGATGGTGGTGTCAGGGAAGGAATGGTTTTGGTGAATGAAGAGGTCATTTCCCCCTGCACGCCTGCATGACACATAGAAGCTACAGTCGGAAAGTGGTCGTAAATACACGGTCATAGTGGGAACACAGGTTCCCGGGGCAGCAATTTGCATTTATGCGGCCAGCAAATTTTTCTATTTGCCATACACGGTGCTCACATCCCTCACAGGGAATCTATACTACAATATATCTTAATTCTACTTTTTTACCCACTCCCTTCAACTCTTCTTACTCTATTTACAGAATTTTTTGTTTCCATTTTTTCCCTCCATCCTTTGTTGTTTAATCCATGCCTTTCCCCTACCCGCTCCCTTGTTCCCTTTCTCATTTGAACACGTTCTTCCCTGTGCTTCTTGCCAACTCTTAGCGCTTTTCCTACGAGACAAATACGATACTTAAACTTGCCTGATCACTCACTACTGAACCTCACGTCCCCGCCCACAATTTGTGCGATGACGTCACCCTTTCCGGCCAGGACCCCACCCAGCCACCACCCAATTATACGCATGCGCGTAGCGCGTGCGCACCACACATGCTGCCGCCGCGCCCTTCTCCGGGCGTCTAGATTCCCATCCTTTCCTCCGGCCCCGCCCAAGCGGCTGCCCGTGACCTGCCTGGCGCAGGGAACGGAAAGCCAGAAGGGGCAAGACGACTTCAGTTCGCCATGGGGCTGTTTGGAAAAACCCAGGAGAAGCCGCCCAAAGAGATGGTAAGAGTTACGACGGTGGCATATAAGTCGGTGGGTTTGCGTGGGTTGTAGTGGTGTTGACAAACGACGGGACACTTTCCTCTCAGGCCGGCCACCTACCACCTGGCCCCCATTTCCGGGGCTTCCCATTCGACCGAAGGCCTGGTGAAGGCTCTCCAAGAAGTTTGCTGTGGGTAGGAGGAGGTGTTGGTACTCCGCTATAGACCAGGGAACTGAGGGCTGTGTTAAGAGCTCTTCAAACTCCCCGTAGGGCGCCGAGGCAGCGACGCGGTGTTGGTTGCTGGAAACCCTTCCCCCTGCGCACGTTGGTACATCCCGCCCGGAACCTTTCTCCAGCGCAGGCTCCGCCCCTGGCGCCGGGCTACGGACCACCTGGCGGACCAACCCCTGTCTGAAGCTTTGCCTGGAGGACCTGGTCACGACCGCCAGAGGGTCCCTGCACCTGCCGCTGCTTCTTTACCCATGTTAATGTTGAGAGGAAGGCTTTTCACCCTTTTTCCCAGTCCTGCGAGCTCATACTGACTCCACAGGCGCAGTAATTATAGCAGGGATACGACCAAGAAGAGTATACCGAAAATAGCTCTGCACGGATTGTGAGCTCCAGATCTCCTTATAAAATGAATTAATGTGAAAGGCGAATGGCTAAAAACGCTCTATCGAGTCGTCCAAGTTTGAATTCTTGTTGCCCATATCCCTCTGTAATCACGAGAACATTAACTTCTCTGAGCCTTAGTCATTTCCGCTGTCAACAATATTAGAACAATTGACGATTAAAAGATGTAAAGTTTGAGCTGATAGTGGTCGTGAGGGTTCATTCTTTTTTATATTCTTACAGCCTTGCTACTAAGTTTAGACCAGTATCATTTGGGGGCTGATTAGACATCCCAGGGCCCACCTAAGACCTGAATCAGATTTTTAATTCTGTCAGGATCAACCCAGGATTATTAGTATGCACCTTACTATAGAAAGGCTCTCCAACGCTCAGACCATATTAAAAATAATCGCCTGTGTTATCTCTGCCATTCTCTGTTAATTGGCTTTCACTTGTACGTTACCCTGTTGGAATATAAATGGATATTTTATTTTTAGCAGTTATATTTATCATTTGAAGATGGCCAAAGTGTTACATAGGCAGTACATTAGAGACCATTTTCAACAGTAATGAGACTGTTTCTGCAGATTCGTTTATCAGCTTTGGAGTGGTCAAGCTAGGGCCACACACTAAAGGTAATAATCTCTCACTACTGTCAAAAATACTTGTATGATAACAAGCATCTTAGAATTGCACATAGCACAGAATTACATCTGCATAGTATTCTAAAGTTTGCAGAATGTTGTTACGCATTTTTATTTCATTTAAGCTCTACAAGTTTAAGCTATCAGGGAGAAAACTGAACAGGTAAGATCTTTACTCAACACAGGATGTTACGATAGGCTTGGTGGCACATGACTGTGATCCCAGCTACCTGGGAGTCTGAAGGGGGAGTTTGAGGCTAGCCTGGGCAATGTAGTGAGCTCCTATCTCAAAAAGTGCAAGTAAAGGATTTCAGATTTTTTCCATTGTGGAAATGTGAGTGTTGCAGAGAGGACCTTTTCAAACATTGTAGGTGCCTCTGCATTAACATGCATACTAATCACCAGAGATCTTGTCTGAATTCTTTTTGGAATTGAGTCTGTTTTGGGCCTCAGATGTCTGTTCAGCTAATGATGCTTTGGTGATGCTGATGTCTCCTGGTCTGCTCTTGAGTAGTAGTAGTATTCTGCAGAATACACAGAATGAGCCCTCACTTATACTACTAGCTATACTGCTTGGAATAAAGTGTGTTAATCCACTCTTGAGAACTGTCAACATCAGTAAGTAGGTACACTGCAGTTATTGTTGCCACTTACATATGTGGAATGAGGCATGACTTTTCTAGGGTCATACAGTTTGTAAATTATATCACCAGTAAATTCTACATCAGACCAAAAAGATCAAGCTGGGTTTGGTGCTTCCCACCTGTAATTGCAGCACTTGGGAGGCTGAGGCATGAAGATTGCCTGAGTTTGAGGCCAGCCTAGGCTACATAGTGAGTTCAAGGCCAGTCTGAACTACACAGTAAGGCTGTGTCTCAAAAAAAAAAAAAGTAATGTTTGGCATTGTTTTTAATAGATTGAAAGAGAAAATGTTCAACTTCATAAAAGAAGCTAAAGGAAAGTTTTAAAAATAATATTAGAGGGAAGAGGGGTTAAAGAGAAATAGAAATTGACCTAGTACTCTACTCCCAGCTGGACAGCTTTTGAGTTGGGATACATTTACACTGGGGGCTGGAGTATGTTGACCTGTGGTTCCTCATAGTATCCTTATACTATTGTGGCATAGTATAAGCAAAGGCCAGTTGCTGCTGTGTCATGCTGTGACAGTTGTTGAACTTGCCATCATCTGGACCATGGTGACAAGTCAGACCAAGCAAGTGAGATACATTATGGGTGATATTCCCATCATAGAATAGAAACTAAATAAATGTTGTAAGATCAATGTCAAAATAAGGTTAAATAAGCTTTTAAGGTCAAGTACTTGTAATGAGCAATGTTTCAAGAAATACTGGGAAACATTAGCTATATCAGAAGTCTTTACAGACTGAAGTCTTAGCTCCAGACATCTCAAGCACTTTGATGGGAACATCTTAGTAGTGTAACCTGTTCTGTCATAAAGGGTCCAACTTAAGACTAGGCCAGATCTGCTGAGGTTTAGAGTGCCTTATAGTACATTTAGAAAATTGTAATTATCTTGGAGTAGAAACCACAAAGATATAAAGTTCTACCCAACAGTCTTCTCTTGGATTTGAGGTTCTGCTCAATGATTTGTGCTGTATGAATCAGGTAAAATGGTGTTTTTTTGTTTGTTTTTTTTTTTTTTACTTAGTTCATGCAACAGACATTCACTGAAATACTTTCATGTTCATTGTGTTGGGACCAGGTTCACAAAAATAAGTCATTGGATGATAATTTTGAAGAATGCAAAGTTTACTAGAGGAGACCAACATGTGAACAAATACTTAGGAAGATAAGAAAAGTAATATGAACAAGGTCTGTGATGTCACAGTGGAGAGTGACTAATTTGGGAAGAAGGGCTGATCAAGCAGGGTGTTTCAATTTAGATCTAAAATGTCCACCAAAAGTCTTGTGGTCAGAGGTGGAGCTTTTGGAAGTGATTGGATTATGGGGGTGCTATACTTATTAGTGGATTAATTTATTGATTAGTTTTTAGTTGAATGTGCTGTTAGGAGTTGGGTCCCAGGTGGAAGAGTTAGGTCATAGGGGCTCCCCTTTAGTGGTCATCTTGCTTTCTCTGCTTCGTGGCTACTATGGGTTGAGCAAGTTTCCTCTGCCAGGCCCTTTAACCATGCCATTTCTGCTGATCATGCTCTGAACACTTGAGCCAAAACAAACCTTTTCTCCTTTAAATTGTGTAGGTCAGATATTTTGTCCCAGGGTGGAAAAACTAATGTAGCATACTTGGGCCCTGCCGTAAAGCACATTAACCAGGTGGGGGGATGGGTATAGGAGTAGGCAAAGGGAAATACTCTAAGGAGAGTGAACTTTATGTGCAAGGTATAGAACATAGATTAGAGGAACCAGGAAAAAAAGTTCAGAATGACTGGAAGATGAACTTCTGTTCTCACTGAGGGGGCAGGAGGAGTAATGATAGTTTTAAGATACAAAATTTGAGAGAAAGACAAAGGAGAGATTAGCAAAGACCTAAGGATGGGAAGCATTCAGAACAATGGTTTGGAGCATAAATTTGAGGGATGAAGCTTGGATAGGAAGGTCATTTAGTGGCACAGGTAAGAGATGGTATGGGTCTTAAGCTTATCAGAAGGAATGGAGTGGATGGGGTGAGTTTTAGGATCATTTCAGTATAGCCAGTTTGCTGACCTACTGTGTGCAAAAGTGCAGCGATGATTCTTGGGCTTTTTTGTAACTCCACCCCCAGTCAAATCTATTCATGTTTTTTTTTTTTTTTTTTTTTGTCTTTTTCCTTTTTATCGGTACCAGGGATCGAACTCAGGACTGCCTGCTTGCAAGGCAGGCGCTTATGCCGCTGAGCTAAACCCCCAGACCCATCTATTCATGTTTTGAATGGCCGTGCTATGAACTGAGATTGAAAGAATTAAGAACAGTACATTTGAGGGGGATGGTGATAGTGAAGGAAGATGAGCCAAAGAGCTCAATTTTGAATAGTTCAGGAGAAAGATCTGGGGAATATTTTTCAGAAATAGTTTTCTCTTTTACTTTGTGTCCTTAGCAAAAATATACACTATATTTTTCTTCTGTATTACCTACCTGGCCAGCATAATGTTGAAGCTTGCCAAGGTATGCTTATACACTGGCATGGGAGCCTATTTTATAAGGACACTAGTTCTGTTCCTTACACACCTGATCATCTCCCCAAAGACTCTACTGCCTCATTTCATCACTTGGGGATTTGTGATTTGAACACAGAATTTTGGAGGACACATATTCATACTATAGTAAATGATGAACACACACAGATAGATAGATAGAATCCATCAAAACCTGTGTGCATCATAAAAGGAAAAACTTGCATAAATATTTTAATACTAAATTTATTGAGACATTGAGATTAATATAAGTTACCTTCAGTCTCTACAGTTATAAAAGGTACTCAAAGTAATGGCCATTAGTTTCCAGACATTTATTTGTATGGCAAACTGCTGAAATGTGTATACATTTTTTCATGATGTATGTGTACTAAATATGTTTCCAAAATTCAAATATTGATAGCATTTTGTCATTATTTGATTAATGCTTTTAAGATGAGTCATTTGAAGCACATTGTAGATATTATGACACAACATTTCGCATTACATCTTTAGAAAATATGGAATTTCTCCTACATACCTAACAAAAATTTCTCCTACATACCTAACAAAAATTTCCTGATATTATTGACTCCCCAGTCCATATTTAAATTTCCCCAAGTATTCCCCATATGC